ATGCATTAGTCAAGTTTCAGCAGTTTCTAAATAATTTTTTTCGCGATTTCATCTTCTAGAACTGATACTTAATTATTATGTTTGGTCGGAGAGTCGGCTAAACAACAATATAAGATTCTAGATACGAAATGCCTTCCAGAAGTTTTGAGACTTTTTCCAATAGAGACATTTATTAATTTCAAAGAAGTACAAAACTCTAATATCCTTCAAAGTAGGATACGCTACCTTCAAAGCACGTCTTGTAACGCTCCAGCCCCTTCGTGAAGTCCCCATGGAAGTCATCCAAAATTAACGTGTTCTGTCACAGCCGCCTTCATCTTTAAAGAAATTTTCAGAACAACTGCCCCTGAGATTTTCTTCCAGCTTGGGAAACAACCAAAAGTCACAGGAAGCAATGCCTGGACAGTAGGGAGGGCGTGGGGCAGTTTTGAAGCTCATTAAGCATCACCTTACTGTCACCAACACGTCTTTCCATCTGTTTGCCACAATAGAACAAAAACTGAGCAATTTATACGCATGCTCAGTTCTTCATGAATAATTTGTATACAATTTCTACACTAACTTCTTCATGGACACAAGATTGACTTCATCCAGAAAATTGCGATTTACCTCAACAAGCTCTGATATTTGACGTCCCTCTCCATCCCACATAGTGCTTTACCTCATTTCTACACACCTATTGTGTCAACCAACAGTCCCCGCTCATACAATTTAATCCATAAGCAGGCTGGAGCATTTCATAAGTTTCTGTAACAGTTCTGCCCAGTTTAACACAAAATGTTATTGCATAGCGAGATTCCAAATAGTCTTCCCGTCCCGACTGCATACTATAAACTAGTCAATTCTGACAATCAGTGTTTAAGAGGGTGTGGTCAAACAGGCTTTTACAGCCGTCTCTAATCTGGAATAACAAAAGTTAGCAGGTCAACCTATTAGCTGTATAGTAATAATATACTATAATTATAATACTTTGTGACAGTAATAACTGCCTCCCCTAAAAATCTCAAATCTTCTGAAATGCACAACGTACTCCTATATGCAAATAGCAGATTTTTAATTTACAAATTATATGAATATTATTACATATTAACCATATATTTGCGTCCGTTCACACACACACACACATGCATATATATATATATATATATATATATATATATATATATATATATATATATATATATGCTCCCGAAAAAAAATTATTTCGGTTGAGCTTTCTGTGAACGAAGTGTGAGTTTGTAAACAGTGACTATTACTGCTGATAATGCAATATTTTTCTGTAAAGCGAATCGGGTTCTCTCAGTCACTGGGTGTTTAGCTAAAGATAAATACGTTTAAAATCACGTTCATCCCTGTCGTGCGCTAACGGCTTAGGGGTTGAATCTCCAAATGACGCCAATTCAGCCGGGTTTCGATTCTAGCTAGAGGCAACCGGACGCCTAGCTACACTGATCTGTCAAACAGTCTCTCTCTCTCTCTATATATATATATATATAGATAGATAGATAGATAGTCATCCAGAGACAGACTGTTTCACTGTATCACAGCTTATCAATGTGGCTAGATGTCTAGTAGCCTCTAGCTAGGATCGAAACCCGGCTATTGATCAAGTATGGAAAGGATTTATTATCGAATTGTTTTTCAGTTATCTGTTTGGATTAGTTGTGCTCTTCTGTCCATCGTCATTTGTGTTAAATTTTTATATTTTCTAATCTTAATTATGTTTAAATGAAAATGTCCATGAAGATGGTCTTAAATAGACCGAAACGTCCGACGTCGACTTTATATTAACATTAATACAGCATAATTGCTTATTAAGATTTTTGTTTGTTTTTCTGTATTTTTCTTTTATATATATATATATATATATATATATATATATATATATATATATATATATATATATATGTTTGTGTTTGTTTGTGTGTGTGAACGGACGCAAATATATGCTTAGAAATATAATAATAATAATAATAATAATATATATATATATATATATATATATATATATATATATATATATATATACAATCAGAGACACTTCAGCGTCTTGTAATGGTTAGCAAGCTGGTCTCGCTAGATCAATTACGACTGAGTAGTGTGTTGGATTATCACTGGATGCTTCATACTTTGAGCCATGTGCCACATCTAAGCGACGCTGAGTGAATTACTATATATATATATATATATATATATAGTGGGAGAGAGAGATTGATATTAGGAAAATGCAAAATATTGTGTGTTCTCTTTCGTCCTTTAAGGCTTCATTCATGTGATATTTCTGTTAATGTTACTACACACGCGCATGAAGTGATGGGGAAATATAAAAACTCAAATTTTGGTCATAATTATGCACAGATTGATGTCGATGAAAGTGTTAGAACCTTGAAATTTTAAATTTCTAAATTAATCTTTTTAACCTTGGTCAGCTAATGAATTGATTGTCTTTTTTTCTTTTTGTAAAAGATCCCGTTTTTATTAGTATAATATTTTCTGTAAATTCCTAGATGTTTCTCCTATCAATGCATGTTATAAATTAAATTATTAGTAATTACACTGTATTATTTTGTTATGGTGAGAACAGAAATTTACGAGATCATTCTTATTAGATGATTTGCGATGGACACTTTTTAGGTTATAATCAGTACGGTGTAACGTAATATCTAGGAAACATAAACTCTTATTTATTTCTGTTTCTTAAGTGGCTTCGGTTCTTCTTTACGGCAGCGAATGTTGGACGATTTCCTCAAAGATGAAGTGACTCGAGGCGACGGAGATGTGGTTCTACAGAAGGATGTTAAGGATAACATGGACCAAGTGTGTGTGCAACGATGAGGTCTTAGAGAGGTTGCAAACAACGAGGAGGCTTATACTTAACATCAGAAAGATGCAGCTGAAGTTTCTGGGAGATATAATGAGGAAAGAGGGTCTGGAGAATCTGATACTCACGAGTCGAATAGAGAGAAAGAGAGACAAGGGAAAATAAAGCGTGACATACCTGGCGGACAGAACGTGGTCTGGGGAGGAAGCAGAGGGAATGAACTTGCTGAAAACACAAAGGATAGAGTGAAGTGGAGAGCCATGATCGCCTACGTCCTGAAAGGAGATGCCACATAAAACGAAATGACTTCTATCTTATGTTCGACTTTGAGTAGTTTCTCTACAACCGCGGTACCCAAACTTTTTTGCCACACGGATCGGTTTTTCCACTGACATGCAGTAGAGGTCGGTTTCAGTCAGGCGTATTACAAAATACCATAAATGAAACCTCGATAGTTAATAAATGAAAAAAGAAAAAAAATGAGTTTATTATTTCTGTGCGTCCGGTACCAAATGGTCCACGGTCCGGTACCGTGATCAGGTTTAGTCATTTTTTGGGGATATACCGGGTGTAACAGCAAAATTGTCCAAATCGTGTAACAGCATAATAGTCCCCCCACCCCACAAAAGCTTAATATCTACAAAACCAGTAAAATAATTGATTTTCTTTTTTCTAGGTTTCCAGATAAGACGTTTAGCCATCTTGATACCATTTGTCGTAATAATCACTGAAAATCCCTTTGGGTTATTTAACTTGAAACAGAACATGTTAAAATCGTTTAGTGTCAATCCCACTGTCTTCGCAACTGAGCAATGCTGAGAGGAAAAACTATCATTCAGGCTTTCAGTAATGGTACCAACATTCATACTCTGGCTTCCACCTTCAAAAGTCTATTGAAGAACCATCAAAAGAACGGTGAATAAGTTTAAAAAAAAGAGGGGAAAGTAGGAAGGAAAACTGGATCAGGAGGTCACAACAACAAGAGGGATCGTCATTTAAACTTAGAGCTAAAGAGATCAATTAGAAAAGATCCAACTCAGTCCACGTAAGAGTGGAGTTTCACTTATGACAGTCCAAAGAGAAGTGGGAAAAGACTTCAAAATGAAATCGTACGTAAAAACTGCGGGGCACCTTGTTATCCCAAGACAGAAAATTAGAAGGTAAAAGAGGGCGAAGTTCATTTTAGATGAGTTTGAAAATGATCCTAGAATAATATATATATATATATATATATATATATATATATATATATATATATATATATATATATTATTTATTTTTAAAAGCTTTATAAGCTTCCGATCCTGAGTTATGATTAATTAATGATGAACATGTCATTTTCGTTTATGATCGATTTCATCACCATTCTTCTATTAAGCTTAGAGGGTAATTACACGTTATTATTGACTTAAGTAGAGTCCGGTAGTGTTATAAAAACCTCGGAGAATTCCAGTAAGATATCTTTCATCATTTCTATGATAACGATTCAAAGCTTAATCCCACAAATAGATAAATTTTGCTGTTATATATAGTGCATAAGGTATTTGTGGACACATTGAAAATCTTAAAAGCACAAACAGCTTGATTGATAGCAAACTTGGTATACTGATGAAGTTATGTTTATTAGATGTAACCTCCTTCAGTTGCAATGATGGCATCAATGCTGCGCCGGAATTGCTAACATGGATCCATTATATGATCTGTATTGATCGTCGGGACATTGCTTAGGTAATGTCGACTTTTAGAGAATCAGTCGTATCAGGAAGAGTATTTTCTTCATCTTAGTAGTTTCTATCTCGACGTTTCAGCCGTTTTGCCATCCAGCCTTCATCAGATGTACGTCAATCCGGGTAACCTACAGGGTATTCCGAAATGAACTCTTTATTTAATCTAAATGAATAGACCGATGATATTGGGCTTGCCTAGGGACATCGCGTCTCGTTCCTCTTTTTTTTTTAGTATTGCTCTGTTATTACTCGCCTAAGTACTCGGCCCAGGGAATAAACGCACAACTCCTATGTAATCAAGTTTACGAAACCACGCATTTATCCACTAGGCTAGTTTCCCTTTGTCTCGTGGATTAAACCGTTGTTTCGTGAATTTGGTGACATTCTAATTGTGAGTTCAATCCCTGGGCTGAGAAGTGATTGTTTGGATTCCGTGGAAACTGCAGTAAGAACTACACAAGATATCTGATAGATAGATAGATAGATAGATAGATAGATAGATAGATAGATAGATAGATAGATAGATAGATAGATAGATCTATTCTGTTGTCAGATAGATCTATTCTGTTATTTGATAGATAGATAGATAGATAGATAGATAGATAGATAGATAGATAGAAGGATCTGAAGGCATTGACATGGATAGATAGATAGATAGATAGATAGATAGATAGATAGATAGATACATTCATACATACATACATAGAAGGATCTGAAGACATTGACATAGATAGATAGATAGATAGATAGATAGATAGATAGATAGATAGATAGATTGATTTAATGATTATATAATGGTGTATGAAGATAGATAGATAGATAGATAGATAGATAGATAGATAGATAGATAGAAGGATCTGAAGACATTGACATAGATAGATAGATAGATAGATAGATAGATAGATAGATAGATAGATAGATTTAATGATTATATAATGGTGTATGAAGATAGATAGATAGATAGATAGATCTGAAGGCATTCTCATAGATAGATAGATAGATAGATAGATAGATAGATAGATAGAGTTAATGATTATATAATGGTGTATAAAGATAGATAGATAGATAGATAGATGTGAAGGGATTGACATAGATAGATAGATAGATAGATAGATAGATAGATAGATAGATAGATAGATAGATAGGTAAAAAACTAAGATATATTAAGTTAGCTATGTCCATAACCCGCACAGTGAGATTTATTGTAGATTTTCGAACGTGTCTCAAATTCCTTCCAAAGATAATCATTACTATAGGTAAGATATACTATTATTGAAAAATGAGCCGGGAGCACTTTCTCTTTGAAGTTAATCTTGTAACTGCTAAATACAGTTTATTTATATAGTATAAATGGCAGTCGAGTACTGAATGCAACCATTGTCTCCACTGTCTCACCACGCATAACTTGATTTTTCTATAGAATCTCTGCTAATAGATATACACACGCACATAATCTACACACACACACATATATATATATATATATATATATATATATATATATATATATATATATATATATATATATATATAAACACATATATATATATATATATATATATATATATATATATATATATATACACAGATACATAGACACAAACACACACACACAAGCGCGCACACACACACACACACACACACACACATATATATATATATATATATATATATATATACATGGAGAGAGAGAGAAGAACGAGAGAGTTCGTCATAGCTCTCGGCTATATCCGAAGTTCCCAGACAAAACCACTACTTTTTTTTCCAGTCGAGTTACGCTTGAAACTCAAGAACACAAAAGGGAATCCACCTCCAGCATCGAATAAAACAAGTCGATTCAGTGGATAGTTTACTGAAACACGTGTAAGATTTAATACAGACGCCAGTCCCAATTGAAATCCATTTGCTGGTCAAGAGGCTGGCCAAAACACTGGACAACAGCACAATAGAGGCCTCATTCGGTCTATTATCTAAACTGACATGGGGAGGGCCCCGCGAGACATGATCGGCGCCAGATTACATTGTGTAAGGTAGAGGAAAACGATTGGATGTCTGGCCCTATGTAACGAGGTCCTTAGGTGCAAATACGGATAGGATTTTTATTTTATTTTTACCACTATCAACTTCTTTATTATTCTACTTTTTATCCTATGCTTTTATAAAAATTCTATTAAAATGAAGCGACCTCTTTTGGCCGTTCACGGTGGCACGATGGTGAATATGCTGATGCCACAGACGAATTCTCTAATGCAGGAGTGCAACACCACACTGACCTTGTTCCTGATAAAGCAGCATTTAATAAACAACTACAGTGACCTCTATAGAAGGACGCGAAACGATGTCAGAAAACAAAGCTGGAGAAATTTCAGATTAAAGCATCAACCAATTGGATGACAAGCGGTTAATCCTGTTCATTTCTGCAAATCGCAAAACCATTTCGAGATATACATCGATTAAAATGATAGTAAGCGAATAATAATAATAATAATAATAATAATAATAATAATAATACAGCAGTTAAGTGAAGTGTGCGATATAAGAAAAGAAAACGAAAATAAAAAACAGTGTTTATGTTATATAAGAATAAAGTGTCGCTGCCGACACTTGCGTTTGAACATAGATCCCCTGTGAGCAAACACAGGCGATCCCATTATTGAATTAAGTATTCCATGTGACCATAGAGGAAACGCATATATAGGTAATAGCAAGACGTCTAAATGATCGTCATTTCTAGTCTATCATCGGATTCGGATTTCCATTTCTACTCTATCCTCTATTACTATACGAGCCGCTATTCTATTCACCATACTATTCCACTATTCGGATCACTATCCGGTGGACTATTCGAGCGAGAATTATCTAGCAAGAACTATTAGTGCAAGTATTATTTGAAAATGTCTGACACTCGTATTGTTCAATGGGGTACTATAGTTGTATCTGCGATTACAAAGTTTCTACTAAAACGAGCATTACAAAAATGTCAACGAGTATTCATTGGCATTACAACAGTGACAACTAGTGTTCTTTGACATCACAAAAGGTTAACAATAATATTCAAAATCTACCAACCTTTTGGCCATTAAATCGCATGAAGATAGTTACGTATGCAAACTACTAACTTCTCACCCCAGGGGAATGAACAGAATGTCAAGACAGTTCCATATGTATTATACAAAGCTTTATACTAAGATTTATACAGATCACACTCACCATCACGCAATTTTAGTTGCATGCCATTCACGCTGGCTGTGTTTTGACGCGTTGATTACCATTACATCCGTTTTCTCAAGACATGCGACGTTTACACAGAGATTTATAACATTTGTAGATTTTTTTTTATTTTAATATTTGTATACAGTTTTTAAACATGACTTGAAGAAAACAGAAATACTGTCGAAATATTGTTGAACAATGTCAAACATTGTTTTTTTTCTTTTGTTTTTCATTTCTTAAATCGCAATCTTCTCTAAGTGTTGGAATATATTGGAAGAGTTACGTCAACAACTTTGTTTAATAATAATAATAATATTAACAACAACAAAAACAACAACAATAATAATAATAATAATTATTATTATTATTTCCTTTGATTTTTGTTGTATACACATTTACTTCCGGGTGAAAAACGAAAAAAAAGATCACACACAGAGATAAAGAGATAAAATTCTGCGTAATGTGTGAGCTTCTATTTTCTGTATTTCTTTAAGACATGGGCAACCCGGAATCACTTCAATGAATCTATCGGAACCTTTTTCCAATCAATCCGAGGGCTCCAACTACAATTGGAATTATTGATGTCCTCATGTCTTACGCTTTCCACTTCAAGAATCTTGTCTTTTTATAGATTATTAAAATCTTCAAAGATATATTACAATCTCCAGGGTGTTGCCATATCAATAAAAAAACACATTCTGTTCGTGTGGTCATTGGCCACGATGTTTGAGCAATTAGCTTTGACTAGTCTGTATGTGTGTATTGTAAAGTCCCATAAAATTGTTACAGGTCCTATCTTTGTAATTGGGTCCGGGTATGTTCATACCAATTTCTTCTTTTTGTTCTTGTTCTTCATATTATTATTATTATTATTATTCAAGGACAAGTAATGTCAGTCGTGTAACAAAACAGTAATTTCTGCTTAGTAATTTTAGTTTAAAACATCAAAGATTTGGTTAATAAGTGATACTGTCTATTCCTGCAAATCGTAAAAATAATCTAGATTTATACGGATTGAAGGGAGAACGGTCGAAAAAAGGGTCTTTTAGAACATGGAGAATACTGTATACTTTCCCCTGTTTTAGTAATCGATGTTGCTTTTTATCGCAGCCCTATGACCAATTCTGTCTTTGGTTGGGAAGCAGTGAAATGAAATTTTACATTTTACTACCGGGAAATATTTAACTTGCATTTGAAATTACAAGCACGCTCCGACAAATATAACCTCACGTTCCGTCTTTCTGGGCTTCAACTAAATTAAAACTATTAAAGATTATTTATAATTTTAAAAAAATAATATTCGCTCTTGTTTTCTTTTCTTTTGCTATGATATTCTGGCGCTTCTAATTCTTCCTAAATGATTGCTCAATTATAATTACTAAATTATCTTGTCCTCTTTAAGACAGTTTTAAGGAAAATATTGGATGCAGATTAATTTAAATTGTTTGTTTTTCTATTTTCTCCCTCGAATTGATCGGAAAATGTTCCGATCGACTCAATGAAGGGATTCCTGGTGGTTCATGCTTTTTTGGTTAAACATTTTATTCTAAGCATGTTGATAACGCCACGAAGACGCAATGGGTTCTTAAGAATGGAACGACCTGAGAAAAGGTATTGGTGAGAGAGGATAATAAAAGAACATGAATTTAAGAAAACATAAGATAGCGGTTGATATTTCATTTAACGCTTTGTAGATCGTGGGTAACAGAAAAGTAGGAACCCGGAAGATAATTTCTCAAGCGGAAAGTTCAAGAGAAGAAACTATTAGCATAGAACTTGCATTTACATCAAATAATTCCAAATGTAAAATGATGAAACTTTGATGATAATCTAGTAATCCGCTTAGATCCGTGAACTCTAAGAAACAAAGATGAAAACACAAAAAAAAATATATAAATTAAAAAACATACGCGCTTGTCATAAAGCTATCTGAAGCTCATAAAGCTGATCAGGCTCAGTGGCTCTAAGTACGATCTCTGCTAAGTGCCTTACATGTGGAATCTGGTGCTCAACTCATAATTATTACGCGCCTGTTATAAAGCTATGGTTACAAAATTGATCTGGCTCAGTGGCTGTAAGTCCGATCTCTGCTAAGTGCCTTACATATGGAATCTGGTGCTCAACTCATAATTATTACGCGCCTGTCATAAAGCTATGGTTACGAAATCGATGAGGCTTAGTGGCTCTAAGTCCGATCTCTGCTAAGTGCCTTACATATGGAATCTGGTGTTCAACTCATAATTATTACGCGCCTGTCATAAAGATATTGTTAGAAATTGATCAGGCTTAGTGGCTCTAAATTCGATCTCTGCTAAATGCCTTACATTTGTAATCTGGTGCTCAACTTATAATTATTACTCGCCTGTCATAAAACCATAGTTACGAATTTGATCAGGCTTAGTGGCTCTAAATTCGATATCTGCTAAGTGGAATCTGGTACTCAACTTATAATATTTCCATTAATTTTGGTAAAATGATTGTTAATTATCTTACTCTCGCAGATAGTTGATAGTATTGTAAGTTTGCTCCGCTCAGGCTACTCGGGAATTGCGGTTATACATCAGTGTATATATTTTGAATTTTGACAGAAATTCTATTAAAAGGTATGCATAATAGATTGAAAATTTTTTTTTTAAAAATCACCGTGAAAATTCTTCTTCCTTAAATGTAAACAGAGTTTAATATATGTGAATCCATTATCTGTCCAAATGTTCCTAACTGAGCACTTTTGGCTATTCTTGTAGCTGCTTCCAAAATTTAGATTTTATGATATAAACCGAGATTGTAGTAAGTGTGGACAAAAATCGTCATGAGAAGCGGTGCTTTAGTGTATAAGCTCCATAAAGATAAAATCTGAACAATCAACCAACAAGCAAGGACAGAAGAAGGAAAATATAGAAAGCAATTAAGAAAGAATTAAACAAAAGGAAGGAACAAAGGAACGAAGGAAGGTATGAACGAAGGAAGAAAGGAAGGAAAGAACGAACGAACGAATGAACAAAAGAAGGAACGAACGAACGAAAGAACTAAGGAACGAAGGAACGAACGAATGAACGAATGAACGAATGAACGAATAAAGAAACGAAGGAACGAAGGAAAGAAAGAAGGAAAGAACAAAGAAACGAAAGAACAAAGGAACGAAGGAATGAACGAAAGAACAAAGGAACGAAGGAATGAACGAACGAAAACACGAAGGAAGGAACGTGCGAATAATCCAAGGAAGGAAGAAAGAAAGGAACGAACGAACGAACTAACGAACGAAGACAAAAAAGAAAGAAAGAAAGAAAGAAAGAAAGAAAGAACAATAAATAAATAAAGAAACAAACAAACAAACAAACAAGAAAGAAAGAAAGAAAAGAATGACTGAACAATAAAAGAAAAGAAAAGAAAGACAGAACAAGAAAGAAAGAAAGAAAGAAAGAAAGAACAAGAAAGAAAGCCAGAACAAGAAAAAAAGAAAAAATAAAGAAAGAAAGAAACAAGAAAGAAAAGAAAGACTGAACAAGAAAGGCAGAAAGAAAGAAAGAAAGAAAGAAAGAAAGAAAGAAAGAAAGAAAGAAAGAAAGAAAGAAAAACAATGAAAATAAGAACAAGGATTGAAGAAACATAACGAATGAAAGAAAATAAAAACAGATAGTGTGGAGAAGGAAAAGAAAGAAGAAAGTAAATCAGGTAAAGAAATGTCGTCAAAAGTATCCACTTAAACCGAGAAGGTGAATTCAAGTACACGTTTGAATAAGATATTGCTTTCGTCTTTCTTTCTTTTTTTCCTTTCCCTGAAAACACTTGACAAGCAGAACAATTATGGCTATTGACGAGTGGACAAGACACAATGAAAAAACAACCGTCGATAAGAGAGAGAGAGTTGAGAAAGATAGAGAGAAAGAATAGGGGAAACAGGTGAATAGTAGAGAAGGAAGAACGGAAGAAGAAAACTAAGAGAAAAGGTGTAAACCGCGCAGATAAATTTGACTGAGAGGTTAATACAAAAGAAAACTATAGATAAATAAAAAGAAAGAAACGCGTATAGAATCTGGAAATCGAGCAGAATGCAAGTAGATAAAAGGCCGTACTCTTCGCGGTCAAATTCAGTCTGGTACATGTGGGGTTTCGGTTTACAGGGTGGCTAATGTGAGCCATTCAATGGATTTTATGTTTGCGTCGGAGTTAACCAGACGGAAAATCAGGTACAAAGTTGCTATGAAAAGAAATCGTAAGTCAGTCAATTGCGAACAATGTCGAATTTAGATTATTAGTGTATTATTTTCCCATCTCCACGACCAATATACTCAACATCATATCTTGATTTTTCCTGCTGATTATTCAGTCGACACGCACACATCTATATCCGTACTGCCTTAAGATATTTCCTGAAAGCGCCCTTCCAACAAGAAAAAAAAACATAATTAATTGATTTGTTTTTACGTCTAATCAACATTTTACAGGTAATTTAAAACTAGAAAACATTTTTAGATTGTAAGAAGATAATAATGATTTACTGATACAAGTCCTACTAATTAACCCATAGCTAGGGGGAGAAAAGGTAGATTCATACATTTCTCAAGCGTATTAGCTATATCTGTCTATATTTCTGAGATGAGCTATTGTAATTTTTTACAGTATTTACATTATTCGTAGAATTGCTCTCTTCTTCATTTTCATATTCATAATGTTTCCGACGTTGTACGCTCCGGTTTTATTCAAGATCTGTCTATATTTCTGAGATGAGGTATTGTAATTATTTACACTATTTATATTGTTTGGAGTAATGTCCTCATCTTCATTACCATATTCACGACGTTTCGGCCGGTTTACGCTCCGGTTTTATTCAGGATATGTCTATATTTCTGAGATGGACTATTGTAATTACTTACACTATTTTCATTGTTCTTAGTGTTGTCCTCATCTTCATTGGCATATTCACGACGTTTCGGCCGTTGTACGCTCCGGTTTTTTTTTCAGGATCTGACTCTATTTCTGAGATGAGGTTTTTTAATTATTTAGACTATTTATATTGTTCGGAGTATAGTCCTCATCTTCATTAACATATTCACGACGTTTCGGCCGGTTTACGCTCCGGTTTTATTCAGGATATGTCTATATTTCTGAGATGGGTTATTGTAATTACTTACACTATTTACATTGTTCTTAGTGTTGTCCTCATCTTCATTGGCATATTCACGACGTTTCGGCCGTTGTACGCTCCGGTTTTTTCAGGATCTGTCTCTATTTCTGAGATGAGCTATGGTAATTTTTTACAGTATTTACATTGTTCGGCGAATAGCACTCTTCTTCATTTTCATATTCATAATGTTTCCGACGTTGTACGCTCCGGTTTTATTCAAGATCTGTCTATATTTCTGAGATGAGGTATTGTAATTATTTACACTATTTATATTGTTTGGAGTAATGTCCTCATCTTCATTACCATATTCACGACGTTTCGGCCGGTTTACGCCCGGTTTTATTCAGGATATGTCTATATTTCTGAGATGGACTATTGTAATTACTTACACTATTTTCATTGTTCTTAGTGTTGTCCCCCATCTTCATTGGCATATTCACGACGTTTCGGCCGTTGTACGCTCCGGTTTTTTTTTCAGGATCTGACTCTATTTCTGAGATGAGGTTTTTAATTATTTAGACTATTTATATTGTTCGGAGTATAGTCCTCATCTTCATTAACATATTCACGACGTTTCGGCCGGTTTACGCTCCGGTTTTATTCAGGATATGTCTATATTTCTGAGATGGGTTATTGTAATTACTTACACTATTTACATTGTTCTTAGTGTTGTCCTCATCTTCATTGGCATATTCACGACGTTTCGGCCGTTGTACGCTCCGGTTTTTTCAGGATCTGTCTCTCTATTTCTGAGATGAGCTATGGTAATTTTTTTACAGTATTTACATTGTTCGGCGAATAGCACTCTTCTTCATTTTCATATTCATAATGTTTCCGACGTTGTACGCTCCGGTTTTATTCAGGATCTGTCTATATTTCTGAGATGAGGTATTGTAATTATTTACACTATATTGTTCGGAGTATAGTCCTCATCTTCATTACCATATTCCCGACGTTTCGGCCGTTATGCGCTCCATATTTCAACACTACTTCAAACAAGAAGGAAACTTCCATCGGTACTGGAAAGAGTAATAACAGTCATGGAACTTGAGTCATGTATTTTCCTTTAAAAGAGATGTTTTGATAGAAGGATTTTCTATAACTTTCAAACGACAGTGACTCGGTCAATGCATGTGGAATGATTTTTAACACAAAAGACTATCATTACTATTACCAATAACTATTAAATTTTGCATCTCTTTGTCTTCCGTTCTTAACTGTAACCATTGGGCCCGATGTCGCAAGCATTTAGTATTTGAAGTTAGTTAAAAGGTTACACGTTGCATTACATTGTAGAAATGACATTTGCTCCTTTCTTCATCACTCACCTCCATCAACCGACCCTCCGCCATCAACCGCTACTTGCAGCTGTGTCCGGGACTCTTAGGCGCAGAAATATTTCTAATTGTTATTTTATTAGCTTATTTTTACTTGCTTTGTTACAGATTGTCGAGTAACCAAATTCTTTGATCGTATTTTGCCCACCGCCACACACAGTGTCCCACACCAGTTGCAGCAATACCGTCACCTACACCCCCGCCCAAATTCTCTCTCTCTCTCTCAAAGTGTTGTTTGACTGTCGCCAATAGCATCACGAAAAAAAAATTCAATTTTCATCTTGCCATACCCCTTCCACTATCCAAATCCCCGGGTAAATGTCAATGAGAGAAATTTGTTGTAGGTTCGCTTTCTAGAGGGTGTGCCCCATTGTTACCCGCAGAAAGTAATTTCTGCTTTTACCAAGGAAGTGCAGGAACGATAAATATCTTCGTCGTCATGGAACCGTTTGTAAAGTTGACTTCTGCGCCGTTGTCGAAATGGCAAGGGTTGGTGGTATTTAGTATCAATAACTGTCCGATGGATACTGGCGGGTGCAGCTAAATAGTTGAGGCTTAGTAGAGCCAGGGAGAGGCTTCAAATTTCATTTACTGATGCTATATTAATTACACTCATTAGCTCAACATTCTGCTGCTTTAGACGACTACATCTAAGTTGTTTATGAATGAACAACATGTTGACTTCAGTTAATTTTCTTTCTTTCTTTTTTTTTTTTTTTACATGAAACGAAATCGCTAGAGAAAGGGACATAAAAGAAAAAAAAAAAAAAAACATCGATAAATCCGTGGTACAATTAAAAAAAGAAAACGTTTATTTATCATGGGAGGTATTTATCTTTCAACATAAATCTTTGCTAGTCAATGCCATTAACTCAACTTTTTTCCATTATTTCTATAGAGAGAAACATACAGATTTCCGGTCAAAATTAAGCTAAGAACTGAATCTGGCTATGAACTAAACCTGCTGAAGTGTGAATTGAACAATTATGAACAAAATTCATTTAAGAAACTCTAAAGTCGAGTCTAAGTAACATCAATCAGCTAAGAGACGCCATTTTTTTTTTATTAAACGTATTTATCTCGAATATCACCATGGTCGATTTGTCAGGAAGGCGACTTTCTGATGATATCGGACTGGATCGAGGCCCATCCTAGTGTATGACAACTTTGGAGAGTGCATGAAAACCATACCACGGGTTGACCCAAGCCTTGCGAGTGAAATTGGGTAGACGGAACGCAGGAGGCCGTCGATGGCTGTGCTAACACGAAATCACAGGTCATCGTGACCGGAGGTTTGAGCGTGCTGGCCTTGTTCAGATTGTTGATCACGCTAGATAATACTCTCCTGCCCCAATAACTGTAAGGCCTGCTCAGCATAGTTGCAGTATAAACCACAGGTGGGCTATAAGGGCGCTGAACAAAATGCGCCTGAACAAACGTCAGCAATAACGATTAGCTAGCTGACATAGTAGATGGGTGTCCTCGAATACGAGTGGCCAGGCATTAAGGTAATTATATATATATATATATATATATATATATATATATATATATATATATATATATGGTGGCCAGAGTTGAATCAAACAGGTAGTATTAAAAAGTGATTTTCCTTCCTCTCCTCTCCTTTCATCTTTTCTTTACTTGTTCCTTCATTTTTTTCTTATTGCTTCTCCATACCACTTCCTTTCTATTACATTCAACACCATATTTTTCGACCGTCATTCGCCTGTTTATTTATTTTTGAAGAATAATAATGTAACGTTCTTAGTGTCTTTTTTTTTAATAAAGCCTTAAGGTGGTCATTTGAAAAATATTGCCTGATGCACTGTGAGGTCAAAACCAAGGTCGCGTATTCAAATGGATTTGGAGATATTTATGAACTTATTGGCCTATAGCTATATGGAAATAATCCTAGATATTCAACACGGTCCATCATTTCACAGAACTGAACAGATATTTATATGTTGTCAAAATTCTTCAATGATATCATTACTCCATATCTATGTACAAATTGTATTATTAAATCAACTCATGAATTTCTTCAAATCCTTATACATTTATTAACTGGAGTAAATTTTCAATCATTTTGAACGAAACTTGTATATACAGAACGCGATTGGTGAACTGTCGCTAATTTATATTTTTTATTTCACGCATACGCGGTTTTGTTTTTTATTTAGTAGGGTCAGTTGGGCACAGCCTGTAAGAACAACAGCACCATGACGCAATTTCTACAGCCAGAAATTTGGAAAGAGTATGCTGTTCTGCTTGGAATTCTCGTCGGGAGCTCCAATACGAACATTTCAGAACGTTTCGGTGTCAATCTGAGGATAGTGTAGCGGGTTCGGAAAGAGTTTGGATGAGTCTAATGGTGATTACGGAGTTACGGCAGCTCGGAAAACTCAATTTGATCGTTCTGATAACAAAAGATCTCCCGAATTTGTTGCTGATGGCCTCAGGCTCAAGACGTAAGCCTACATCAAGTGCCTACACCAAGTTCTTCTCTGGGTCAAGCGGGTGATTCCAAGAAGACCCACTGTCTAGCAACAGGACTCTGCACGATGCCACACAAGCAAGAGAACCTAGTCATGGCTGCCAGACAATTTATACGACCACATCACCCTTTACATCTGGCCA